CCATCGAAAAACCATCCAGTGAGCTATCTATACTATCTATAATCAATAGTATTATACAGGGGCGAACTGGGATTAAAATTGTCACCGGGATTTAAAATTAAAATGGCTACATCTATATACTTATTAATTGCACACAAAAAAGTATAATAAATAGAATTCATTTTTTACACTCTGCAGATTTTTAAAAATTATAACATCGAACATATAACTTTTTTGACAAATTATTCCTATTAGCTAAGTTATTAACGTAAATAACTTAATATCATGGGCACAATATAATATGTCGTATACACAGACAATAATTTAATTATCTACATTTATGTTATTCTAAATTTAATGAATATAAGAATATAATATACAGTAGTCCACAGATAATGATTGCTTATCGCGTATTTCTATTTCATAGAACTTTATAAAAATAAGATATGGCCGACAACTATTTTTATTTTATTATTTTGTATTTTCCTATATTATGTATGTATAAACAATTTACCAGAGCTGTATCTTGGCAGAGAGTATTTTCATACCAAGTTTACTATTGATGTGCCCATTGAAAATAATATTTGTTTAATATTATTATGAACGAATTTTCTTTATTAATTATTTTTTATTTAATTTTGGCAACAACGACCACTGGTTAGATTAGGCACTGGCCCACCGGGAAATTTCCTGGCGTCCCGGTGGGCCAGTACGCTCCTGGTATTATATTTTATATTATAATGCTTGGATCAATTTACATTGTTAATTAATCTATAAGTACTTAGTAAAACTACCATAAAACCATTTTTTAGGACTTGAATAATTCTCAAATTACTCCAATAGACATTAATGGTCTGTCTCAATCACCCAATGAGGTTTTACCTTCACTGAACATTGATGTTTCATATTTAACATCAGAATCTGAAACAAGTGTTTTAAATATTGGGGCATCTACATCGTCATCACAAGAAACAGTTCAAAGTATAGCAACTACGTCCTCTTATAATACTGCTGAAAAGGTAATTGTGATATTAATTTTATTACCTGTTAACTTAATTAGTAATAAATATAATTTTTCCAGGGTCCTAAACTTCTGGATTTTTTGAAAAGTACGACGGAAGGTAGATCAATTTTGTCTGCATATAAAGACTTGTTAGATAATACTGGAAGGAGAAAACTATGCAATTTAATTGTTAGGAGAGAACTACAAGATAATCCAGAAACCCGAGTTACGACGCAAAGACTGCTCTTTCTTGCACAAGAAATTACGGAAGTGTTTACAAAGGAACACATAAGTACATATTTTATTCCCTACATAAACTATGGTAAAATAGTAAATTTATTTAATGAGTAAAATTATTATTGGTATTTTTACCAGCATATTCATGTTTTTATCATTTAAGTTCCATATCTAAAGAAAGCAGCAAAGGGAAAATTACTGGATTGTTTCAACAACCGTAAAAGAGAATATAAGAAAGCTGGTTTAATCCTTACTACTTCAAGACAAAAATCGTATATTAAATCAAAATCTGTATTACTTTTATCTTCTAATTGTTCAAATATTGGTAGTTTATATTTTATGTAATTGCACATGTATGAATTGATATAGCAATGTTATTTTTAAATTAATTGTCTTAGATGATGAAAGCGTTGAAGAATCCATGACATGGTTTCACAACTCTTGTGATCCTTGGGACATAGTAGAACGGTATTGGTCCATGACAGCATCAAAACGTTTAAAAAAAAATATTAGATACAAACTCTAAAGAAATATCAGTTTCTAACTATATGAATGATTTTCCTGCACTCAAAAAACCATCCGGTTATAAACTTGTAAGTTGAAAATAAAAATTTTACTAACAATACCTTGCTTACAAATAAAAATGTATTAATTAATTTTAGTTGATTGAAGATTTCAACTTTTTGTAAGCTGAAAAAAGGGAAAGTCTTTTTGAATCATTTCCTCTATACAAGCAGAAGATTTTAGAGCTTGCGAGAAGTGTATCGAATAAATTAAGAGATAATTCACTTAAATGTATTTTACAAGAATATTTAGATCTAGCACCAGGTATAGTAATATAATTTTATTTCATATTTTTTTGTGTATTTATAATTATAATTTAAATTTTTCAGAAAGTGAAGAAGCATCGTCTGTTGCTGCATTTTTAGTGTTACCATTCCTATTTAGTGCAGTTCCAACAAAAAGAAAGAGAGGAAAGTCTACCTGGAAACCGTCTAAAACTGAAATGAAAGATGGATTTATTACTCATATCAAATCCCATTCAGAACTTCAAGAAACTATAACTCGCAGAAAAAATAAGTTTTTTAAACTCGGATTAACATTACGGCCATTGGTTATAATAGTTGGGCCAAATATAAATGAAATAACTCAGTATTTTGTTTATGTCAATGGTACGTTCTATGTATTAAATTCTACACTGTCTTCGGTGGATTGTTGTTTTAAAGCAATACACGCCTTAAATCTTGAGTATCCATTAGAAAGCATCCCAATTTGGTCATTTGTTCAAAAATGTTTTTATCAAATAAATACTGCATGGGATATTGAGTTTGTGTCAGTTAATTCTCTGTTAAGCGATATTAGGTTGCACGATACTATTGTAACACCATAGAATATATTTTATGTTTATTACATTATAATATTTTCTTTTAAATAATATAAACTTATTAAATTTTTTAGCTTTAACATGCCTTCTTGCTTTATATGTAAAGAATCCTTTTCATTAATTTCAACATTATGTAAACATTTTCAAATTAAACATGCCACCCATGATTTTGTGAAATATATTTGTATTGAAATGAACTGCGATAGGTCTTTTCATTTATTAAATTCATTTAAAAAACATTTAGCTACTCATCTAAAAGATGCATTAATAAAGGAATCCAATATTTTTACTAGTGTTGATGAAAATTTTTCTGATGTTAATAGTAGTGGAAGCATTGTTAACTCATCTCCCATTACTCCCCAAAACTTTATATCAGCTACTGCAGATGATTTTTATGATTTTCGTTTGACAGATACTTATATTGGAAAATTTTTAGCATCTTTGTACTCTAATGCTCAAATCCCCCGTAATGTTATTCAATTGATTATAGAAGGCATGGCAGGTATAATTGAAGGTATAAAAAAATCCTTGTTAAATAGCAATTTGACAATTCCTCTTAATATTTTCGATCATATAAAGTCTGTATTTGAAAATATTGATACAACATTTTCAAAATTAAACACAAAATATAAACGTATTAAATATTATACTGATAAGGGTTCATATATTGCGCCCTAAAGATATGTATAATAAACTAGATTGCTAACTGCTGCATCTTACTCATGTGATTAGTTGAAGCAGACGGCAGCCATTTAATTCGAGGCCTATGGGCTTTATCACAGCCTTAGATTTGTTTGATAAGGAAACCGATAAAAAAATAAATTATAGAACAAGTAACAAAACAAAAAACTTTTTATTGCACTTTATTTTTCTCATTTATACAAATTTTCCATCTAAATATAAATAACAATTATTAACATAGTTTATTCTGATAGGTTAACAATTTTTACATGTTATAAAATAAAATGGTTTTACTGAGTTTCTGTCGTTTACTAGCAGTTTTCATAATCAAGGATGTTATTATTTTACTATAAGAATATAATCTCACATTAAGGTAGATTCTGGTTACTTTGTTTATAATGTCAATTTTGTGAGGTCTTGCCAATAAATCTGTTGAATTCCAGCAAGTATCACATTCTGGAAATAGTATGGCGTTTGTCGCTAATGAGTTTTGTACACTTATCATAATTTTTAAATCCATATTTTTAATAAACATTTGTTTTTTATCCACCATAATGGTTTTAAATAATGTTTCTGTCAATTTAACAATTTTGTACACCCCATCAGAAG